TGACGGAAGCACGAGGCAGCCGTCCAGCACCTCAAATTCGCCGAGCGACGAGCCAATCCCCATTGATACGCCCATCAGCAACGACTCGAGGAACCACCCTGTTTGCGAGGGTCGGGAGCGGATCTAGGTCGGGAGATGGTATCTGGGTGCGCGAGGGGTTCAAGAGTGCTGGTGCGAGGGGTCTCACCGCCGAGCCCCGTCGAGCCCCCACAAACGGCGAACAGCGCTACTACGGCACGCAGGAAGTTGACGAAGATGAATGAGCCAATTGCGCTGATGGGCAATTTAAGAACTTGCTCTTGGAATAGGCGGACTGGATCGAAACAGTGGATATTGTTCGAGGCCAACATGTTGAGTCGATGCACCTGAGCCGACTCGCTCACGTCGAGAGCACGGTAGTGCGGCAGGTCACATTGCGCCGTATCAACAACGAGCGGCGAGGAGCAAGCGCCCATTGCAGACGCCAATCCGAGGCTTGCACAGTCCATTTTTAACTGGTCAAACGCTTCATCGCTGCGGCACTGCAGACGTCGCGCCATGCAAGCATCGTTCCTGAGCCTGTTTGCAGTGTGTAAGTCACACTGCTCGCCCTTCCAATAACTGCATTCCGGTAGCTGATTCCACTGCTCGGTGAGGTGCTGCTCACACTGCGCATACTGATCCCACTTACCGCTGCAGTCCTCGACAACTAAACTTGCGTTCAGGTGATAGCAGTGATCGCCAGCAGCTGTCAGGTTCGATGTGGCAAACACCGTGCCGGACGGAGTAGGATACGCAGCAAGTGGGTCGCCATGGAATGTGTGGATGAGGCTTGGACTTTGTGAAAGCATCGCGCCCGCCTTGAGACAGGCAGCGACGAGGTCCATATACGTCCCTGTGTCGTAGGTCGAGTACTCGAGCGAACGTTCGGTGGCGCTGCCAAGTTGCATCAACAGCGTCGCCACCTGCAAAGCGATAACGAGTATTGCAGCCCACAGCGCCTCCCGCGGGTGCTGCATCGATGACGAGAAGGCATCAACGGTGCTGTCCATGCCAGCAGCCGTCATGCTCGACGCGGAAGCCGCTGCTGCGCCGGGGAGGCACGCCGCGGCGGCGGCGACGCAGACGGCCCACGCCACGCCGCGCCGAGCCCCCTTTCCGCTCGCCGCGGTCGGCCAGGAGGCACCGCAGGCGATGGCGAGGAGGATGAGCACGAGGGCGGGCATGAGAAGCGGCGAGCAGCTCACGAGCGAGGACGCCTTCGAGGCGACGGCGGAGAAGGTAGAGGACGCTGCCGAGGCGACGGAGGCTGCTGAGGCGACAGCAGACGAGAAGGCCGAGGCCACCGCCGTCGGGCTAGGCACGGCGGACGCGCAGTGGCCGAAGGCGGGGATGCAGACGAGGAGCAGCCACCGGAAGGCGCCCGCGGCCTTCGTGTAGCCGCCGAGTGGGCCGCGCCAGCAAGACAAGTACTCCTCCGCGGTGGTGGCGGTAGCGGCGCTCTTCGCCATCTCGTAACACTCCTCGGGCGTTGGTGGCCTCCACAGAGGCTGCATCGATGTGCTCAACAGCGGCCCTGCTCAACCGCGGCTCGCTCAACAGCGGCTCCCCGAATTGGAGTCACGCTCGCAAGAAATTGCGCGCGCGCGCAGTTAAGGGGAACCCCGGTACACGGAACTAACCCTCGGAGACCCGTGTTTACTTTACGGCCCTTTCCCTGCGAACGCGCACCCCCGGGGCTAGGGCTCTCTTGCCCGCAACCCGATACCGATCAATCATCCGGCCCGCTGGGTGCGCTCCTCAGGCTCAGCTCCCCGGCCCTGGATGTGAGGTTGATGACTGCACTCCAAGTGCTCCAAGTGCGCTGGAGCGGCCGCACATTACGTGTGTGTACGCGCAGTCTTCCGCGGGGGGAGCTTCGTCGACGGGTGCGGGACCGCGGCGCAGACAGTGCCTGCGGCGATGCCTCCGGCTGCTGCTGGCGAGTGGCTTGCTGCTCGCTGCGATGGCGAAAAACTCGTCTCGTCACACGCCAAGGGCTTATGCTCTGTCGAGACGTGAGGCGCATGCGCCCAGGAGGGGAGGGCGCATGCGTAACGACGCTGCTAGAGATGCCTTTCGGGGCCCAGAGACAAAACTTCTGATGCCATGCGTGACCTAGTAGTGTCCCCAGCTATGGGCGTGTCCACGTTGGAGCCAAGTGTGGTGTGGACGCGAGAATAGCTCCGCCGTTCATGGAGGCAACCACAAACGAGCGATTCTGAGATCAGGTTAGTCGTTTCCTCCTTGGAGGCAGACATTTCAGAAAGCGAATCCCCGGCCGCATCTGCCCGCTCGAAGCGGGGAACCCGTCCCGGGCGCCCGCTCGAAGCTGGGGGCGCCCGCTCGAAGCTGGGGGCGCCCGCTCGAAGCAGCCGGCTGCCTGCGAGCGTGCTGCGGCCCTCTGCCGCCCTCAATGCTGTGGCTGGCCGCGATGCTGAGCCTCGGCCTCTCCTCAACTCGGAACGCACGCAGAGCAGGCTCTTGCTCACGTGCTCTGCTGAAACCTCACGGGCCATCAGGGCCTGGAGCCTCTTGCCCCCGCTTATTGGCCTGCGTGCGGCCCCTTGGTCCTCGATGCGGCGCCCGCTTATTGATAACAGCGTTCTCTGCGGTGATTGATGGATGCAACTTGCTTGGGTTAATTGCGTTGTGTTGTGTGTTGTGGCGCACGCGAATATCTTGATCCAGCGGCCCAAGCTCCATTCGACACACTCGTGAGCGCGTCACAGGAAGCGCAAGCAAGACGTGTGGTCCTTAGCCAGTCCGCCTTAGCTGCTCCGCCCGCTTTCCGGCACGCTAGTTTGGTCTCCTAGTACACCGCGTTTGTGAAGTACGCTACCAGTCTCGATCAATCGCCCCGATTCTCGTCGTTTGGCACTAAGGTCTAAGTTTGGAAGAAAGTTTCCCTCGGCGATTTCTTGTTGGTGTTCAAATCACACACACACACACACACACACACACACACACACACACACACACACACACACACACACACACACACACACACACACACACACACACACACACACACACACACACACACACACACACACACACACACACACACACACAACGGCCCAACAGCTCCCTAGGTAGGCATCCAATAGATGCCGCACTGGCTCAGTGGCTAGCTCAGTAGCACCCAAGCTCTGCGCCCCCTCCTGGATCGGCTTTGTCCACCACAGCCTCCTCCTCGTCCGCGCCCGTGTCCCCCCCAGCACAGCCAGGCACACCAACGTCACGAGCAGCAGCAGCACCGAAACCGCTCGCGACAGCACGTGATCAGTCAGCAAGTCCGCAATGCAACGCTGTGCCTCGGCGCACCAATGAGTGCCGCGTCCACAGTATTGGGATGCTGCGGTGTCCACTGCTGGCTGCAGGCATTTCGACGCCGCCGTCCCGACGACCGCCAGCCGGGCCGCCATCCCCAGGTCGCTGTGGTGCAAGATGTGACAGTGAAACGGCAGATCACCACAGTGACGCTGTGCCCGGAAGCGAACCGTCACAATCACGGCCCCACTATTCGTGGCGGGGATCGGAATGGTGTCGCGCCACTGACCGACGCCGACCAAAGCCCCATACTCCGCCGGCCCATCCACCGAGACGACAAGGAAGTGGATCCGATGAGCGTGGAACGGATGCATGCTCGCGCCACCCACGCGGATGCGCCACTCTTGCAGAGCGCCCAACCGAATCTCTTGCGTGTTGCCTGGAGAGGAATCGTTGTAGACATGCCCGTTGATCGTTATCTGATACGCGTCGCTGTTGGGCCCATCGCCGAGAGTGATGGTGGATGTCTCGTCGGGTGTGCCAAGCCGTAGATCCTCCTGCATGTGTAGAGGCCGAAGAGGTAGAGAGCTCGGCAGCGGCAGCTCTGCCGCTCCAGCCTGAGGCTCTGTGACGGCCAGGATCAAGATGTCCTGGGAGATTCTTGCGTGTCGACCCATCGCAACGTCCCTCGCAGGGTCCGTCTCGGACCTGAGTACGTATCTGCCAGCGCGACGACAGCGGAGCGCCAGATCGACCCGACCTCCCGGGACGAGGACCAGGGCGTGGGTGACGCGCGCTGGCCGTGCGAGGTAGACTCCATCCATAGCCAGCACGTCCATGCTGCAGTGACTGCCACGTGTGAGTTCGAGCTCAAACGTCGCCACTGCGTTAGCATTGAGCACGCGAAACCGGGTGTACTGGTTGGCCAAGAGAGAGACGCTCGGCTTGAACTGCCCGTTGGCGAGGATGTAATTCGCTGGGGGGCCGCCGCTAACGTCCATGTCGAGAGCATCGTGCAGCTGCGCGTGGATTGTGTCGTGCGTTGCGACACCGAGCGAGTGCCAATGCTGCATCTGCAAAACTAGGAGCACCTCCACCATCGCCGCCAGCGGCGTCTCCTCGGGCTCGTCCTCAACAATCAACATTCCGGCCATGAGCCCACCGACCTGCAGCGCTGAGGTGCCGTGCGGGTGTGGGTGATACCAGAAGGTACCCGACGGGTGGTCGTCATCTACCCTGTGCCGGTACGTAATCGTGTGCTGAGGCTCGACGATACAGCGGAGGTTGTCTCCACATGAGTTGGATGCTTGCTCGTAAGGAGTGGCTGGTACGTGCATGCCATGCAAGTGCAGGTTCGTCCTGTTCAGGTCATCACCGTGGCCACCGCTAGCCAGTAGGTTGTTCACGAGATGGATCTGAACGTGATCGCCTCGCCGCACACGCAGCACCGGCCCGGGAAAGGAGCCATTGTAGCAGCGCGTCGTCATGTGAAGAGGCGACCCGGCGAAGCGCGCTGCATCGACACTCAGCGTCACGTCCATGCCTCTCCCCGGAAGCGAGGTCACGCTACGAAGTACTGGCAGAGGGACGTGTGGCATGGCCGTGGGGCGAGTCGGGGCAGCATCGTCCCCCACAGCGGCTGCAGCTGCCCCTGCCGCAGCGGCATCCGGTGAGCACGAGCGAGTCGACGTAAAGTTCGCTCCATCTGGATCCTCGCCCGGGTACGGAGGATACAGCGGATGTCCGATATTGTCCACCGCTCGTGGGAACCAGAGCTGTCCGTCGTGCCCGTGGTCCCGAAAGCTGTGGATATAGGCCTGCGACTCTGCTGATAGGAGGTGCTGCTCGAACAGCAACGCCGCCGGTACATTTGCCATCGGAAACGCCTCCTGCCGCACGACCACCGAGCACATCACGTGATCTTCGTGCCGCACGCACCTTGAGACCGTCTCCGGACTCGTTCGTACAGGCAGTTCTCCGAAAAAAAAGCGTCACTCGACACAGAGCAGAAGGCGCCAAGTCGGGGTGTTGAGATTTTTTCGTCGAGTGGGTACCTCTTATATCTCGCGTCCAGGGGCCCTTCCTGAGCACCACCCACCCCTCCCGCGCGTCTCCAACACCCCACGGCCCTCCCGGCGCCGACGAGGACACAGCTATCTCGCCACAGCGCCGAGATCCGCTGAGATGCCGCGCTGACTCGGGCACGAGGTGGCGTTCGGTCGACGTCGCCGGAGGCAGTCGAGGAGCCGACTCGTTCCTGTGTTGTATGTGCTCGCTCGCCAGCCGCTGCGACGCGAGATCATTCATGGAGGTGACCGGCTGCAACCCTGCTCCATGTCCATGTACCATGTCGCGCTGCGCCTCGGCGGCAGAGCCCAGCTCCATGAGTTTGCCGCTTGAGAAACGCGAGCATGACCTTCATGGCAGCGAGAGAGAGTTGTTTTGGCATCGATCGAACGGGCGGGACAGAATCTGCACGGGTGGCATCGGCCACGTGACCTCCTGACCCGAGCTCATCAGATGGCGGCGAGCAGAACGTGCCCAGAAACGGTGCAAACGGTGCAAACGGTGCAAACGGTACATCAGTAGAACAGGGTTCCTGGAGTTAGTTACCGCCGCACCGACGCGGCGACCGAAGCCTAGGCCGTGAACAACTGTCGGCCGCATGCCGTGCGAGACAACGACGGAGCATCCAGATGTCCTCCGGCCAAAATTTCCTTCGGGGCGGCTGCGTCGCACTGCAGAGGCACCGACCGCTTCGTAGCCGAATGCTGCCGCGGCTGCACCTCCGCAGGTCGATATTTGGCGCCTCCGACTCCTGGCTGCCCAAGCCGCCCGCACGCTGCTTCGAGCGGGAGGAGGTTGTCGGGTGGGCTCCCGAAATCCTGTTTGACATCGTGGCCGACGTCGAGCTCTACTCGGAGTTTGTGCCTCTCTGCTCGGCGAGCCGCATCGTGCGCAGGCACGGGCCGGACCGCTTCGATGCGGTGCTCGGGATTGGCTACCTCGGCCTCTCCGAGGAGTACACATCTCGCGTGACACTCTCGCGTGGCACGTCGCCAGCGATAGTTGTGGCCGAGGCGCTCGACGCGCGGCTCTTCACGCGGATGCGCAGCGAGTGGACCTTCTCGCCCGCGTCGGCGGGCGGCTGCCGCCTCGCGCTGCGCGTCGACATGCAGCTGCGAGCCCACTCACACGACCAGCTGCTCCGCTCGGTGATGGGGACGTTTGCCGAGCAGCAGGTCTTCGCCTTCCGCCGCCGCTGTGCCGAGCTACACGGCGATGACTCGGCCGCCCTCGTCAGAGGCAGCCTCCGCCAGGGCGGCACCGCCTCCGGTTTCCGCAGCACGAGCCCGCAGGCGGCAGCGGCGGGAGCGGCGGGGCGGCGGCGAGGAGGCGAGGCGAGAGGGGCTGCACCGTCAGAAGGCGAGGGTTCGGGCGTGAGTTGCGCGGCGCTGCTGGCGAGCGCACCAATCGAGCCATATAATCTCCCCATCTCTCCCCATCTCCTTCCCATCTCCTTCCCATCTCCTCCCCACTCCCCATCTCCTTCCCCATCTCCTTCCCCATCTCCTCCCCATCTCCTTCCCCATCCTTCCCCATCTCCTTCCCATCTCCTTCCCCATCTCTCCCCATCTCCTTCCCATCTCCTTCCCCATCTCCTTCCCCATCTCCTTCCCCATCTCCTTCCCATCTCCTTCCCCATCTCCTCCCCACTAGGCGGGCGTGCCGATCGAGCCGGCGTGGCGAGCCGAGGTCGAGCGCGCCTTCGAGGCGCACTCTGTGGATGGAGGAGGCCTCTCCCTCGCTCGCTTCATCGAGGCGTGCCGTGCGTTGGGCTGCTCCGGCGCACAGGTCCTCTCGCCGCCGCGATCTCGCCCAATCTCGCCCAATCTCGCCCAATCTCGCCCAATCTCGGCTCATCTCGGCTCCGGCCGCGGCCGAGCGCCCGCCTGTCTTGCGTCCGCTTTCGCGGGCGTCACGGCTCTCTTTTCGACAGGTGCTGTCGGGAGCGCCTGCCGGCCGCGGCGGCGGTGCGTTGCATGCCATCGTACAGCCGTCGCCGGGCAAGGGGGGCGCGGCGGGCGCGGGGGACGGCGGCCCATTGCTCAAGGCGGCGCTGATCGACTCGAGACCGCTGCTCGCTGCGGCGCTGTTCGTCGAGTTCGACGCCGACGGCTCTGGGGAGGTGTGGCTCTTTGATGCCCAATGCGTGCACTCGTCCCTCTCTGTATGTGTGGGTTCGTGTGTGCTGTGGGCCCTCCTTGTCTCTGCCTAGACCCAGTGTGAGGTAACACCTACCGGCTCTGGGGAGGTGTCGCGTGACGAGTTTGTGGCGCACGTGTGGATGCTGCTCCGCGCGTCGGAGGAGCAGCGGCAGCGTTTCGCGTTCGCCAAGCTCGACGTGAACCGTTCGGGCGCCCTCGAGCGTTCCGACCTCGTCGCTTCGATGCGGCGGCAGCTCTCGATCGCGCGCACGCTCTCCCCCTTGCTCGTCCAGCTGCAGCTGCGCCGGCATGCCCTCACCGAGACCTCTCCGAGACCTCTCCGAGACCTCTCCGAGACCTCTCCGAGACCTCTCCGAGACCTCTCGACCTCTCCTGCAGGCACACCCTCACCGCGGCAGAGCAGAGGCAGCTCGGCGAGACTGCCGTCGCGGCCGCGCACGAGACGATCGACGCGATGCACAGTCAGGTCGCCACGGCGCCGAGTCTTTCTTGTTGACTCCTCTTGATTTGCAGCAGCAGCACGCGCACTTCTGTTAGGTCGAGCCGACCGTCGACGAGCTGCTCGCTTCGATGCAGACCGGCGCTGACGGCGCAGTCACGCTCGACGCCTGGCAATCTCGGGTAATCTCGGGTAATCTCGGGTAATCTCATCTAGGCGCCGTCACGCTCGACGCCTGGCGCGAGGCGTGCGGGCGTAGACGCTGAACGCGGACCTGACTCGCACGAACTCGAGATGGCTCCCTCCTCTCTCGGCAAATTCGCGGGAGTCGCAGTGGAGAGCAATAGCCGTTTGGCGCCCTAGCCCCCACAGAGAGAGTAGCATGTGCACTCGTGCGACCCGAGGACGACACTGCACTGCGCGAGGCCGCGTTCACGCCCTGACAGCGGTGTAGCTGATGATGACTCAGGCGTGCGAGCGCAACCCCGACCTCGCCACCAGCCTCGATGGCGGGCTGCTGCTCGAGCAGACTGCCGCCGCCGCAGCCGCACACGACGCCGGCAACCCCATACCCTGAGCTCTCCGCGGCGCCGGCCCGGCATCCGGCCACTGCGAATCTCCGAGCGCGAGCTCCTTCCTCCTCTGCGATGGCGTGGCCGCGCGATTCACTTTGGATTAGAGCTGTGCATGATCTTGGCCTCTCACCTTTTGCATCCGTTTGTCGCTCTCATCGTTTCTCTGTCCGTTTTTTCGACACTCTTGACGACACTTGACGCCCCTGCTCAGGGCTCTCAACACTCAATAAAAACGTGGGGGGGCGGGCGCGCGGGCGCGCGCGCGCGCGCGCGCGCGCGGGGGAAACAGCCCGCGTGAAAAAAGAGAAGAGCAAGTTGAGTCGTTGTCGGGCGCCGTCGCGATTGGAGGGTGAGAGGACGGCCCCGGCTCAGGACCAATCGCCGAGCCACTCGACCCGCTGCTCGAGGTCGGCCTTCCTGGCGCTCTCGGCGGCGGCGGCCTCGGCGCGCGCTCGCAGCGCCGCTCGGCGCGCCGCCTGCTCCTCCGCCGCCGCCGCGGCCAGAGGCCCATTGTCGAAAAACTCTTGTGGGTCCTCGAGCGCCGGGTCGCCGGCGTCGTCGGCGACCGCCGCAGCGGTGAGCATCTCTCGGAGCGAGACGGCGTCGCCCGCGTCAGCGCCGCCCGCCGCCGCGCCGCCCGCCGCCGCGCTGCTCGCCGCCGCGCGCGCCGCAATCTGCGCCGCCAACGGCAGCGACGCGACCAGCTCCTCCATCTCTGCCGGCAGTGGCGCCGCAGCGCGCGTCGCCTGGCTCAGCTCCTCGAGCGCCGCTTCGTCGCCCGCGGCGGATGCGGCGACCGCCGCCTCCACAGCGCTCGTCACCGACTGCTGGTGCGCCTTCATCGCCGCCGCAACCTCCTCCTCCTGCCTCCGCGCCGCCGCCGCCTCGCGGGCGGCCGCCGCCGCCGCCTCGCGCCCCTGCTCCTCCTCCTCGTCGTCCGACACGTCGATCGCGTCCCACCGGGCATAGCTGAGGGTGCCGGCCGGCGACCCGTTGGAGGCAATCGCACGCCTGCCCGCCGCCGCCGCGCTTTCCGCCGCCGCCGCGGTTTCCGCCGCCGCCGCGGTTTCCGCCGCCGCGGCCGCCGCCACCACAGTAGCCGGCGCCCGGCAGCAAGTAACAGAAGTAGCATCGGCCGCTGCGGTGGCGGCGACTGTCGCCGCGCCGGGCGGCGGCGTCGGTGGTGGGGGCGGCCGCTCCCCCGCGCCGATGCGGCGGGCGAGCGCGCACGCAAAGTCGCGGCCCGCGGCCGTCAGCTTGTCGGCAGCCTTGTCGCCGAGAGCCGACTCGACGAGGAGGCGCGAGCGCGGCTCCTCACCGGCGGCCTCGCTCAGCCTCGGGGTGAGGTCGACCCACCCTCCCGAGGAGGTGGCGTTCCACCAGTGGCGGACGGCGACAAAGGACGCACTCGGCGGGGCGTCGGCCAGCTCGAACACCCAAAATCCCTTGACCACCGCCCAGCCGCTCGCGGCGGCCACCCGCTCGGCGTTGGAAAACGAGTGCAGCGGCTCGAGCACGACACCGGCGGCGGCGGCGTGCTCTGCCGCCGTCGGCGGAGGCACCGCGCGGCAGCGCACGCCGTTCAGCATCGACTTATTGAGCAGCCGCCTCAGCGGCGCGGATTTGAACGCGGCCGGCCACTCCTGCGGGAAGCGCAGAGGCAGCCGGTCCGACGACCACATGGCCACCCGCGCCTCGGCGTCGGTGGCGGCCAGGTCAGACGCCTCGGTGAGCCAGCGACCGACGCAGCCGCTCGCAGCGGGGGTGCCGGCGTCGTCAAGCGGCTGCCACTCCGCTGCAGGCATCGCAACCGCGTCGCGATCGCCCGGCTCCTCCATGGGCTCCTGGCTGGGCCACCAAGAGCGGCATTGTTTTCTTTTGCTGAGGTAAGGTAAGAAGGGGGGGCGACCCTCGCATCTCCACACCCGGACACGGGTAGGACCATGGCCCGGTGCACGTGGGTGAGCAGCCTGCCCCTCCCTCCCGACAAACCAACTCCCGCACACACACAATAAACAAAAACAACCCTGTCTGCACGTCTCGCGCGCGCGTGAACAGGGCCGAGAGAGAGAGAAAGCTGCTCGCTCGAACCGCGGCATGCCAGAGGCTCCTGTGTGCACTGGGCTCTGCTTCGGGCCACCGGCACGACAATGGTCAGCAGGGCAATCACGATGTTGACGACGGGCAGGTCAAGTGCGTCGCCGAGGCCGAGGCCGACACGGACGTACAGGAGGTAGAGGAGGGGCAGCATGAACAGGGCGCAGGTTGTCGACGCCGCGGACATGGCGACCGACAGAGCCACGTTGCCTCTGGCCCACAGCGTAAAGAGATTCGACGTGCTGCCTCCCGGCGCCATGCCGACCAGGACAACGCCACAAGCTGGTCAAAGTCGAAGCAGCTCGCGAATGCGAATGCCAGCCGAGGAGGAAGGCTCGCTTCTTGCTCCGGTAGATCTGGCGCATTTCTTCAAGCACGACGGTTGTGCCGACGGCGAGAGAGATGAAGCAGATGACCAGGAGCGTCAGGTCTCAGGATGGAGAGCGTGTCGATCTGGAGCCCGAGCGTCGACGGCGTCGTCGCAGCTGGTGTTGGTCATTGAGATGGCGGTGGAATGTGTCAGGAAGACGGCGTTTCGCGAAAAAAATCAGATTTAGCGCGGAACCTAGGACAAGGTTCCAATTCTCCCTTTTTGCATGTGCATGTGCTACACAACGCGGTATTACACAACGCGGCAACACAAGGCGACGAGCGGGACTTCCGCGGCCGCCGGGATCTCGAGAGAGGAGCGCTGACCTCTCGACAACGAAGGCCTGTGACGATCTGCTCCGCGATGTGCCGTCCGGCAGTCCGCCCCCCCCCCCCCCCCTGCTCGGGACGTCCTCTCCAGGGTCCTCTCAGAGACTTCACACTCTCTATGAGTGCTGCTGGACTGCGTCTGCCGCCGTCCTGGCAGCAGCCGCCCTCGCCCTCGAAGCGGCCGCAGCAGCGCGCGCCGCGTCTGCAGCGGCCGCCGCCTCCTCGAGCGCCGCGTCGCTCCCTTCGAGCGCCGTCTCGCCCCCTTCAACAGCCAAATCGGCCGCGATTAGCGCTGCCCTAGCCGCCGCCTGCGCCGCCTTGGCCTTCTCCAGCGCTGCTCTGGCCTCCGCCCGCGCAACCTCGGCATCCGCCAGCGCCGCCTCGGCCGCCGCCTCGGCCTCCGCCGCCTCCGCCGCCTCCGCCTCAGCGTCCAAGCGCGCCGCCTCGGCCACCTCGGCCGACGCCGCTGCCTGGCTCTCCGCCGTGATGCCGAACCGGATCCTCTCCTCGTGACACTTCTCGAGAAGCAGGAGAAGCCTCGCCTCCTCGGCCTTCTTCGCCGCCTCGGCTGCGTCTGCCTCCGACGGCGCCTCGGCACCCTCCTCGGGCTCCTGCGACGGCCCCGCCCCGCCCGCACCGCCGCCCTTCGTCTTCTTTTTCTTGCCCTTCTTGCCCTTGGCGCGCTTCTCCGCCTCGACCTCCGCCTCGATCTCCGCCAGCAGCTCCTCGGCGTGCCGCGCCGCCTCCTTCTCCTCCGCCGCCCTCTGCGCCGCCCTCTCCGCCGCTCCCGCGGCCCACGCCGCCTCCGCCGCCGCCTTCTCCGCCGCCTTCTCCGCCTTCTTAGCTGCCTCCTCCGCCGCCTTCTCGGCCGCCGCATGCTCCGCGAGGGCACGCACGCACCCGGCGTGGCCCTTGTCCTTGGCCCACTGCAGCGCGGTCTTGCCATCCGTAGTGCACAGCGTCATGTCTGCGCCCGCCCGCAGCAGGCGGAGGAGGGCGGCGGGGTGGCCGTAGAAAGCGGCGAGACTCAGTGCGGTGAAGCCGGCGTTGTCTTGCAGGTCGATCGCCGCGCCGTGCCGGATCAGCGTGTCCACCACTTTCTTGTGGCCTTTTGCGGCGGCGGCCATCAGCGCGGTGCCGCCGAAAGCAATTTGCTGGTTGATCTCCGAGCCGTGCCGCAACGCCAACTCGACCAGCTTCTCGTTCGACTTCTCGTGGCCATACGCGGCGGCGAAACTCAGCGCGGTGTCGTCGTCGCTAGACTGCAACGAGACATCCGCGCCGCGCTGGAGCAGCGCCGTCGCCAGCCCCTCGTGGCCCTTCATCATTGCGAGCATCAGCAGCGTCATGCCGCTCACAGGACCGTCCGCAAAGACGTACTCGAACCTCGCGTTCACCCGCCCACCGCCGTCGAGCCACGCCAGCACCGCCTCGTCATCGCCTCGTTTTGCTGCCCGCACGACCTCCTTTGGCACCGCCCCACCGGTTGTTTGCGCCCTCATCCTGATGGCGTCTTTTACGGAAATATTTCGACCCACTACCCCGCCCCCCCCCCCCCCTCTCCCTCGCAGAGGGCCCATGCCCCACAACCATGTCCATGGAATCATTATGGTTTCCGGTGTAGTATCCAATTTAGTATCTTAGTACACGTATAGACCCCGCACCCGCGGCCTGGGTGCGCGAGAATTTCTCCGCGACTCGTGGCAGCTCTCGCAAGCCGCAAGCCCCGCAACGCGCAAGGCATATGAGATGTGCGAAACAAATACAAAAAGTTGTAAATAACCTTGAGAGCACACAGTACTCCGTCCTGAGCCACCTCTCTCCATCTCCCCCAACCCCCCGGCCCCGGCCCCTGGTGCCCCACGGACCGCCGCCGAGGCCATGTCCGCATCACTCTCACGGCGCCCTGCCGCCGTGCTCCTCGTCGTCGCCGCGCAGTTCGCCGCTCGGCGTCGACCAGCCGACCGCCGCCTCGTACAGCGACCCAATCGGGCCGGGGTCGAGGAAGGCGTACTTTGGCTCGCGCTGCGCCGTCTGCTTGAGCAGCTTGATGTGGTCACTCACCGGGTGGATCGAGTTAGCCGCGATGGCGCCTTGAGCCTAAATTATTAATTCGGGTTTGGGTCTCTGAGGTCGATACTAGCGTCTATAACTTGCCACAAGCATGCTTTACAAAAGTCCTGCTGAGCGGGACTCGCAGAACCGCCGTCCGCGCGCGCTGTGAACAGCGCCATGGTCGAACGTTGTTCGACGACGTCGAACTGGGGACGGTCCTGCCACCGCGAAGCGGGCCCGCGCACGCAGGCTGCACGCAGGGCGGCGCGAGCGCCAAGGGCAAGAAGGTGCTCATCTCGGACCCGATCGAGCAGGCGCCGCACCGCCGGCGACGGCAGCGAGTGGAGCAGACCGCGGTGAGCGTGCCGCCGCCTCCGTGCGCGCAGGTGTGCGTGGACATCCTGCAAAAGGCGGGCGTCGTGGTCGATTGCAAGTCCAAGGTCCCGCCCGCCGAGCTCAAGAAGATCATCGGCGAGTACGACGGCCTGATCGTCCGCTCACTCGCGTGGCCACTTCTTATTGTGTGAACTAAAAGTGTTTTCTTCTCAATGTAATAACAAGGCGGCGCGCCCGACCCGGAGCCGGAGATGCCCGACCCCGCACTTCTCGACCAGGCCGACTCCTTGTCGGCGCGGCGGCGCGCGCTCCACGAGCTGCTCGAGGCGCGGGCCGCCGAGGCCGAGCGTGACTCCTCCCGGCTCGCCCTCGAGCTGGAGCAGCGAGCCGCTGCAGAGGCGGCCCTCATGCAAGAGGCGGCTGCGCTTCGAGAGTCCGAGCGCGCGCTCCGCCGTGCACTGCAGGAGGGTCAGCGGCGGGAGGCGGCGCTGAAGAGCGCACTGGCGCGAGCCAGCGAGGAGAGGAGCGCGGCGCGGGCGGAAGCCTCCCGCGCAGCAGCGTCACTCACCGATCGCGAATTGGCGCTGGACGGGGCGCAAGCTACGTGCCGCGCGCTCCGCACGCGCGTCAAGGACCTGGAGCTTCAGGATCAGCAGGCGGCCTTCATCCGCGGCCACGCGGCGCCGACTCGGCCTCCATCCGGCCACGCCGCTGCGCGAGCAGCTGCGTCGCCGCCTCGGCCACCGTCGGCGGCAGAACCGCGGAGGAGAGAAATGTCTGCGGCCAGCGGGGAGGAGCTTGAGTCTGCACAGCAGGCGTACATCGGCAGGGTGCTCGGAGCAGGCTCGCGCAGGCGCGCGGTGCCACAGAGCAGATAGATGCGCCGCGCGTTTGGCGCGTGCAGTTGGCTCGCCCGAGACGCTCTTTGTGTGGGGTGTGCTGTCGAGAGAGTGACGGTCATCAGAAGAAAAAGGAGTGTTTAAAACCGCGTCGCTCGGATCTCCAGCTGCGCGGGACCTCGCCCTGAGATCGCCGCGACGATACAGCTGCGAGTTGTTTAATCTCTCTCAGTCTCCAACTCCATGTGCGCAAGCCCGTGAGCCGTGTGCTGTGCGCCTCTCACGCCTCACTCATCCCCGCCATCTCGCCCGCCGCCGCGTGCGAGGAGTCGCGCGGAGGAGTAGTAGCTCTCCTCCAGCTCGCGCAGAGCCGCCTGCGCCTGTGCGGAGGCCGGGCGAGGCGGTGGCATGAGGCCATGGCGCCGGCAAAGGCGTCGGGTGGAGAGGGCGGGCGGCTGCCTCTCGTCTGACCGCCTCGAGGCGCCGCTCGGCGTCTCTGGCGGCACTCCGCTCGCGGGCGCTCACCGCACGTGCCTGCGCACGAGGCACCGGGGCGGGGCGATAGCTTGGAGCGGCAAACTATCTCCCGAAATGTCTCTCTCTCTCTCTCTCTCTCTCTCTCTCCCTCCCTCCCTCCCTCCCTCCCTCCCTCCCTCGGACGCGGACTGACCGTCTCACCGCCGTCGCCGCCGTCGAAGAGCAGCGCCTGTGCACACAGCGCCCGCTCTGGCCCGGGAGTGGGAGGCAGGGGTTGGCTGCAGACGGCGGCGCGCCTCAAAGGTGAGCCCTTCGGCGAGCGAGAGCAGCCCGTCCGCAGACTGAAGCAGCGCGCTGGAGGCGACGCTGGCGGAGAGCTCGTCCGCCCCCTGCTGCACCGGCACGCGGACGCGCGCGCAGAGCAGCAGCTGCGAGTACTGGTCGAGCATCGCCGCGATGCCGTCGTCGAGCTGGCGCTCGGCCCGCTTCCGCTGGTGTCCTTCGCTGATGTCGTCCGCATCCATCGCTCACGCTGGGCGCGGAGAGAGTGCTTTGGCGGGAACGGGCGCTGCGCGGCGAGCGTGGGGGTAGTGAAAGTAAGTCCACAACCAGGAAGGCTGGGCTTCGCCGCCTCTGGCTGGGTTCCGGCTCCAAGCCGGGTAGGGGGTCTGGCCTGGGCGATATGACGGTCACATAGGATCGACACACATACCACACAATACAAAGTAAAAATGAAAAATAAAGAAAGAAAGAAGACAACCCAAGGGAGGGATGGGAGGACGGCACGCCGCCACCACACGGAAAAGAAAACGCGGAACCGTCGTAATTTCTTTTTCTCGCGATGTCAGCCCCGCGGCGCCGCTCGCGCCGCCTCGCCACCTCCGTCGCCGCGCCCTCGCCAGACACGCCGCCGGCCACCCGCCTCCTCGACCTCCCCACGGAGCTCCTCGCGCGCGCCCTCTCTCGCTGCGACCCCGCCGACATCGCTCGCGTCGCGGCCGTCTCGCTGCTCTTCCACGCCTCGCTTGCGCTGGAGGGCATCCGCTTGTGGGCGCAAGAGCGCGGCTTCGAGCTGCCGGCGCAGCCGGAGGGCGAGGGCTGCGCCGTGCGATGGCTGTGCTTTGCTGCTCTGCTGCGCGAGTTCAACCCGCCGGCGAGGGCGGCGGCAGGCGAAACGCACAGCGTCTTCATCGACGGCGAGGGGCGGCTCTCGTCGTGCGGCTCATCGCCGGCCTACCTTTTAGCGCTAGGACTGCTCGGGCACGGCGAAGGCGTGACGCGGCTCAACACGCCGACCCGCCTCCCGTCGACTCTGGAGCAAGCCGTGAGCGTGGCGACTGGAAGTTGGCACAGCCTCGCCCTCACCGCCGGCGGAGAGGTCTGGAGCTGGGGCCACGGCTTCTCCGGCCGGCTGGGCCACGGCGACGATCAGCACCAGCTGCTGCCCAAACACGTCGAGGCCTTGGGTGGCCAGCATGTCCTCGCTGTGTCGGCTGGAGGATTCCACGGTCTCGCCCTCGCCGCCGACGGCAGTGTCTGGAGCTGGGGTTGTGGAGGCTGGGGCCAGTTGGGCCACGACGACGAGCAGCACCAGTGGCAGCCGAAGAAGGTCGAGGCCTTGGCTGGGCGGCGCGTCGTCGCTGTGTCGGCTGGACAGCAGCACAGCCTCGCCCTCACCGCCGACGGGTCTGTCTGGAGCTGGGGCGATGGAGGCTTTGGCAAGCTGGGCCACGGCGACGTGCAGAACCAGCGGCAGCCGAAGAAGATCGAGGCCTTGGCTGGCCAGCGCGTCGTCGCTGTGTCAGCGGGAGCCCATCACAGCCTCGCCCTCACCGCCGACGGAGCCGTCTGGAGCTGGGGCTGGGGAGGCGAGGGCCTGCTGGGCCACGGCGACACGCAGCACCAGCGGCAGCCGAAGAAGGTCGAGGCCTTTGCTGACCAGCGCGTCCTCGCCGTGTCGGCGGGAATGTCTCACAGCCTCGCCGTCACCGCCGACGGCGCTGTCTGGAGCTGGGGCTATGGAGCCTCAGGTCAGCTGGGCCACGGCGACGAGCAGCGCCAGCTGCTGCCCAAGAAGGTCGAGGCCTTTGCTGGGCGGCACGTCGCCGCTGTGGCGGCTGGATCCCAGCACAGCCTCGCCATCACCGCCGATGACACCGTCTTTACCTGGGGCAAGGGTGAAAGCGGCTGCCTAGGCCACGGCGACGACCTGTCGAACCAGCTGCTGCCCAAGAAGGTCGAGGCGTGGGGTCTGGGGCAGTGAGGAGGGGGCGTGAATGCGCAGTCGGCGGCCGTGAAAGCGCGTTCAGCGCGCGGCCGTCGCTCGCCGGCCTCCACAACACGCCTCGCGCGCGACGGCCGGCTGCATGTAACAGGCGTGTAGCTGCAGGAGACGGGCGAGACGTGCAAGGTGGGGCTCTACATGGGCGCCGGCGTGACACTCGTTTTGAGGCTTTGGGCATGAGGTTAGCCAATTTTCTCCATCGCGTTTTGAAAGCAACGCTTCCGCGCGTGACTCAGCGATGGGGGGAGCTTCGTCGACGGGTGTGGGACTGCGGCGCAGACAGTGCTCTGCGGCGATGCCTCCCGGCGGTGCTGCGGCGAGTGGTTTGCTGCTCGCTGCGATGGCGAAGAACTCGTCTCGTCACACGCCAAGGGCTTATGCTCTGTCGAGACGTGAGGCGGTATGCGCCCAGGAGGGGAGGGCGCATGCGTAACGACGCTGCCAGAGATGCCTTTTTCGGGGCCCAGAGACAAAACTTCCATGCGTGACCTAGTAGTGTCCCCAGCTATGGGCGTGTCCACGTTGGAGCCAGGTGTGGTGTGGACGCGAGAATAGCTCCGCCGTTCATGGAGGCAACCGATGCGAGTCGACTGGTGTGTGTCGTCGTGGTTTCGTATCAAGAATACTCACTCACTCACTCACTCACCAGTGCGAGGGGAGGCTTTGTAAAATTCTTTCGCCCTTGCATTGCGCGACCAGCTTTCGTTTTTTTTCTGAGCTAGCCTTCGAGGTCGTCTCGTTTGGGTGTGCCGGTGATAGTACTAGCACGCGCCAGTTCGCACCTGTGTCGAGCCTGTCTGCTGTGAGAGAGAGTTGTGTTGTTTAAATTCTTTTTCGCTTTTTCGCTGTTTGGAGAGAGAGATAGAGGCTACAGCCGCGCAAAAAAGACCGCCGCGCAACGAAGACCCGCTGTCTCGCACGCTGCTGACGCCCAGGATGACAGAATTGGCCTTCGCCAGACTGAGGACTATTGTGCGCCTTGGCAAAGCGGTTCCGAAGGTATTTTTTTAGAGCTGGTTCGGCATGCACGAGCGCGTGGGTGTGTGAGCACCGCGGGTCTTTTTTGCGATCCCGGGTCTTGTGCTTGTGCGTGATGCTGTGTGGCATGTGGTCGTCTGCAGTCAGTACAGACATGATAGGGGTGGACTATAGGTCCGGTAGGTCAATTGATCTCACTTAGTCGCATCGTGGGGAGCTCATCCCGGGCCGTCGCAGCCCGGCGCGCGTGGGGTCTTTTTTGCGAAGCTGTAGCCTCTATGCATACATGAGCGCTCATGGGTAGGGGCTCCGCTCCAACAAGCGACCTGACCTCGCTGCGCGCCCTCCTCTCCGGGCGGACGCGCGGTCCGGCGCTCACGGCCCTGCTCGATGCGCGGCTCGAGGCCGAGAATCAGCACACGCTGCTGACTTGCGCCGTATTCCGCGGGCAGGCCGACGCCGTGCGGCTGCTGCTCGAGAGCGGCGCGAGCGTGGGGGCGACGACCGGCATTGGCTGCTCCGCGCTGTTCATCGCGTGCTCGAAGGGCCAGCTCGAGTGCGCCCAGCTGCTTCTCGGCGCCAGCGCGGCGGTCAACCAAGCCGCGGACGACGGCGACCAAGCTGCGGGCGGCGGCTGGACGCCGCTGCTCATCGCGTGCTCCTATGGCCACCCCAACGTCGTGCGCTGCCTGCTGCGGGCGGGCGCGGCGGTCAACCAAGCCGCAGACAATGGTGTAACGCCGCTGTCCATTGCGTGCCAGAACGGCCAGCTCGAGTGCGCCCGGCTGCTCCTCGAGGCTGGCGCAGCGGTCGGCCAAGCCAGGGATGGCGGCGCCACGCCGCTGTACGTCGCGTGCGAGAAGGGCCACGTCGACGTCCTCCGGCCGCTCCTCGAGGCTGACGCGGCGGTCAACCAAGCCAAGGACGGTGGCTTCTCGCCGCTGTACGTCGCGTGCTGGAACGGCTACCTCGACATCGTCCAGCTGCTCCTCGAAGCGGGCGCGGCGGTCGACCAAGCTGCGGACGGCGGCTTCACGCCCCTGCACGTTGCGTGCCAGAATGGCCACCCCGCCGTCGTGCGCTGCCTGCTGCGGGCGGGCGCAGACGCGGCGGCGCGCACCTCGGGCGGGCGTACGGCGCTGCAGCTGGCCACGAAGAACGGCCACGCCGAGTGCGTCAAGATCTTATCCGAGGAGGTGGCGCAGCGCGAGGCGGCGGCAGCAGCGGCGGCGGTGGAGGGCCGAGCAGGGGCGGGCGGCGCTTCCTCGGGCGCGGCAGCGGCAGCTGTGGACGCGCCGCTGCTCGGGAAGCGCGTCGTGCTCGGCGGGCTCTCGGCCCGCCCCGAGCTGAACGGGCGGGGGGGCGTGGCGCGGAGCTTCGAGAGCGGGCGGTACGTGGTGGCGCTCGAGGGCGGCGGCGAGAGCGTGCTAGTCCGGCCGGGTAATCTGTCGGCGGCGGCGGCGGAGCTGAGCAGTGTCGTGGAAGTCCCTGACGAGGTCGTGACAGCGGTTGGACGAGGCGAGGAGAAGGCGGTGCTGGCGTGGCTCGAGGGCGGCGGGCGGGTCGACGCGACGTACGAGAGAGGCGAGATGAGCGGCCTCACGCTGCTGATGTACGCCGCCTTCAGCGGCCACGAGCGGGTGGTCGACTTGCTGCTGCGGCACGGCGCGGAGTTCAACTTGCTGGACAGCCTCGGCCGCACCGCGCTGATGCGCGCCGCCCAGCACGGCCACGAGCGGGTGGTCGATTTGCTGGTGGTGCACGGCGCGGAGATCAACCTGCTGGACAGCAACGGCGAAAGCGCGCTCATGTACGCCGCCGGCGAAGGCCACGAGCGGTTGGTCGACTTGCTGATACGGCGCGGCGCGGAGATCAACCTGCAGAGCAGCGACGGCTGGAACGCGCTGATGTACGCCACCATCTTCAACCGCTCCGCCGTCGTGATCCGCTTGCTGAGCGCGGGCGCCGACGCGGCGGCGCGCAGTGCGAGCGGCAAGACGGCGCTGCAGATGGCCAAGGGGGAGGGCAACACCGAGTGCGTCAAGGTGTTGTCTGAGGCGGCAGTGGTCGCGGCGGCGGCTGCAGAAGGCGGAGCAGGGGCGGGCGGCGCCTCTTCGGGCGCGGCAGTGGTAGCTGAAGACGCGCCGCTGCTCGGGCAGCGAGTCGCGCTCGGCGGGCTCTCGGCCCGCCGCGAGCTGAACGGGCGGCGAGGCGTGGCGCGGAGCTTTGAGGGCGGGCGGTACGTGGTGGCGCTCGAGGGCAGCGGCGAGAGCGTGCGGGTGCGGCCGGGTAATCTGTCGCCGGCTCCGGCGGGAGAGCAGGCGTCGGGCGGTGGCGTGGAAGTCTCCGACGAGATCGTCGCAGCGGCTGAGCGAGGCGACGAGGAGGCGGTGCTGGCGTGGCTCGAGGGCGGCGGGCGGGTCGACGCGACGTACGAGAGAGACGGCTTGAGAGGTCGCACGCTGCTGATGGGCGCCGCCCGCTACGGCCACGAGCGGTTGGTTGAATTGCTGCTGCGGCACGGCGCGGCGATCAACCAGCAGAGCAGCCACGGCCGCACCGCGCTGATGAGCGCCGTCGGCAACGGCCACGAGCGAGTGGTCGATTTGCTGGTGCTGCGCGGGGCGGAGGTGAACTTGCAGGACAGTAGAGGCGGCACCGCGATGATGGACGCCGCCAACAACGGCCACGAGCGCTTGGTCGAAATGCTGATTTGGCACGGCACGGCGATCAACCAGCAAACCAGCGACGGCAACACCGCGCTGATGCTATCCGCTGGCAACGGCCACGAGCGGGTGGTCGACCTGCTGCTGAAGCACGGCGCGGAGGTCAACCTGCAGGACAGCGACGGCGAGACCGCGCTGATGGCTGCCGGCGGCAACGGCCACGAGCGGGTGGCCGACTTGCTGATTCGGCGCGGCGCGGATATCGACCGGCAGGACAGCGACGGCTACACCACGCTGATATACGCCGCCATGGAAGGCCACCCCGCCGTCGTGCTCAGCTTGCTGCGGGCGGGCGCAGACACAGCGGCGCGCACCCCGGGCGGGCGTACGGCGCTGCAGCTGGCCAAGGAGAGGGGCCACGCTGAGTGCGAGCGCGCCTTTGAGGCGGCGGCGAGGGAGGCGAAGAGGGCGGAGGTTGAGGCGAAGGTGGCGAGGGCAGTGGCCGAGAGGGCGGCGGCCGAGAGGGTGGAGGCTGAGAGGGCGGCCGAGGAGGCTGCGGCGGCAAAGGAGGCGCTTGCCGCAAAGCAGCAGGCGGCAAAGGCGGCAAAGGCGGCTCGCCGCAAGCAGGAGAGGGAGAAGATCGCGGCAGCAAAGGCGGACGCTGTCGCCGCGTCCGGAGAAGACACGTGGGACGCGCTCGTCGCGGTGCTCACCTCCGAGACGCGAGACGCCTCGCGCCTGAGGCGGGCGGTGGAGGCCGCCACGCCACACGCGCCTGCCTTGCCGGAGGGTACGGAGGGTCTGCTGATTGGCGCGCGCGAGCGGCTTCCTTCGATGGAGCGGGTCGAGGCGTCCGTCGCTCAGCGCGAGACCGAGGCGGGCGAGGAGGAGGCCGTGGCGGCGGCCGATACAGCGCAGCTGGTGCGTGGCGGCATGCTGCTCGACAACTCCGGGTTCTCATGGAACGGCGACGCCGACAGCCAGTGCCCCATTTGCCTCGAGAAGTGGTCGAGCCTGTCGGACGTAAGCGTGGCGGTGCTCGAGTGCGGCCACGCGACGTGCGCAGCCTGCCTCTGCCACATGCGCGAGTCCGTCCCGGCGACCGAGGAGCGGCAGGACCCGCTCGTGCCTCACGGGCAGAGCGTGACCACACGCTTCCAGTGCCCACACTGCACGCTGCTCCTCGACCCGGCCACCGTCGACAACCTCGCGCTGCAGGCCTACCAGGCGTCCGACCTCCTCCGCCTCCTCGCCGGACACCTCGCCACCGCCGTCGCGCCAGGCTTGCACGACGCCGTGCCGGCGATGCTCGTGCACCGCCGCCTCGACGCTGCGGCGGTGGAGAAGGAGCTCTTCGAGATCATCTCGAGGCACGCTGTCGGGGCGGCGGCCCGGACCGGCGGCAGCCTCGACTCGCGGCGCAAGCAGGAGGTCTACCTCGAGGCGAGGCGGCCCGTCGTCGCGCTCCAGAGAGAGCTGGAGCGCGAGGCTGAGAAGCTCGCGACGCTGGACAAGCGCGACGACAGGCTCGGGCCGGGCGCTGTCTCCGCCGAGTGGCGGTCCTGCCGCGGCCGCTGCGACGAGCTGCGCGAAAATCTACGGGCGGCGCAGCAGAACGCGGCGGCGAGCATCTTTGCGACGCTGAACGACGAGAGCCTGGGGATGGGGTCGGACGCGGGCGAGTCCGAGGGCCTCTGCATCGACCTGCACGGGCTGCACGTCGCCGAGGCGAAGGCCAAGTTCGACGAGCTGGTCGTGCCCGTGCTGCCTGTCCTCGGCCGCTGCGTGGTCGTGACTGGCCGCGGGAGTCACAGCAAGGGCGGCGAGGCCGCCCTGCGCGAGGCGCTGGTGCGGCACGCGCGCCACCGCGCGCTGCGATGTGCAGTGATGCAGGGCAACGGAGGGGCGTTGGAGATCAGCATTCCGGTGCTCGAGTGACTTTTCAGGAGAGCTTTTCACGTTTTTTGCCCTTGCATTCACTTGTACGACTGTATGAGCGGCCGCACACTGCTCGGTACCGCCCTGCGCTCTGAAAGGGAATGTTAGGGAAAATCGCCGCTCTGACCTCTGTGCTCTTGTTGCGAATCTCTCAAAAACACACCGAGAAACAATATACACAGGCTCGCTTACTCAGAGATTGTTTGAACCACTCGCGCCCCTGCCACGCGACACGCAACACTCACATGCATGGCACACCTCGACAAGTTCTCCCTGTCCAAACACAAAAACGACTCTCTGTCGGTCGACTCGGGCACAGCGATGCGTTCGGCTCGCTCGCGCCGCCAGCCCTGCGCAGTCACACGGCAACCTCCGCGCCGGGCGCCGCTCCGGCGGAGGCTGGAGCGGCGCGGCTCGCAGCCGTGAGCGCAGCGACGCCCGAAGAGACGCCATCCACGGCCGTCGCCAGGCCGCTCGAGATGACGCCCGGCGCGGCGGCGACGACGGCGGCCACGGCGGCCGCGGTCAGGCCGGCGACGGCCCTCGCTCCGTCGGCGGTGGCGGCGAGGGCGGCGTGCGTGTGCGTGTGGGTGTGCGCGAGGGCGGTCGGGTCCGACATGAGCTCAGACAGCAGCGCGAGAGAGCAGGGGCGGTGGGCGTGCCTAAAGGGGGAAGACGCCGCCGAACGTGTGGATGGGGGATAGCGTGCGGCGGTGTCGTCCCGCTGCCAGGGAGAAGCTGTACCGCGCCGCGCCGATGCTCTCCACCTCGTCGGGCGTCAGCTCGAGCACCTGATTCGCAGGCCAGGAGTCGTGACCCGCTGTCAGCAAGGCAGCCTCGTCGGGCGCCACTGCTCCCGAGCACCGCCGCGATCGGAGCCCACGGCTAATTAATGAACTAAGTAACTACGAATGACCTACTAATTAGCACCGCCGCAATTGGAGCCCACAGCTCGTGTTGCCTGCGCCCAAGCCCCCGCGCGGGTGAGACGAGGACGCCCTTCACAGCCCCTCGACCGAGCCCCCTCGCGCCGCCTCGAGAAAATTGATTGTCACCTGCCGCAAGTACCGGTACTTCTCACCGCTCAATTAATAATTACTAGTTCATGAATAGTTAATTAGTCACCTGCCGCAAGTACCGGTACTTCTCGCCACTCAACCCGGCAAATCGGCCCGACCGCCGCCGCCGCCGCCGCCGCCGCCGCCGCCGCCGCCGCCGCCGCCGCCGCTGTCGCCGCCGCCCACGTCTCCCCCGAGCGCTGCCCGCACCGCCAGCGCACCGCCCGGCGAGCCCTGCGGCGGCACTGCTCTCCTGCGGGAAGGTTCCGAGAAGACTTCAACAGGAGGCGCGGGGAGACATGGCGGCGCGACCCCCGCACCCGTCTCTCCTGAGGCGCGCAACATCAGCCAGCAGCTACGCGGCCTACGAGTACAGCCTCCCCTGCTGCCCGCACCACCGCGTCGCCGCGGCGGCGGTGGCGGCGGCCGCCTCCTCCCCCGCGCGCGCCAGCGCCGCGTCACGCGCCTTGGCCGCTTCGCGCTGCGCCGCCGCCTGCAGGGAACGTTGCGAGAAGGTTCCGAGGCGAGGCCCCGCAGTCCCGCCTCCCCTCCGCTGTGCCGCCGCCTCGCGCTGCAGCGCGCTCGCCTCCTCGAAGAGCTCGTCGCGGGCGGCCTACACGGGGACGTGCCGGGGACGCGTCGGGGAAGTGGCTTGGACATGTCGCCCCGGCAGACCAATCGCCATCCGCCTCCGCCGCCGCCGCGACGCCGCGAAGCCGCTCCGCCTCCCTCTCGACCGCAGCCACCGCCGCCGCCTCGGCCTCCTCGCGCGCCGCCAGCTCCGCCTGCGTCGCGCCGGGACACTCGGACTGCGAATTAATTCACTAATTAACTAATAATTAACTATTAATCAGGGACACATCGACTGCTCACGACACACGCTCTCCCGCAGTCTTGTGTTTCGAACTCTGTGTGCGGACTTGAAGGAGTGAGCGAGCGAGCGAGTGAGGGGGGACAAGGAACTGCGGCGCCTGCGTCGCGTAGAGCTCGGCCTGCACCGCCGCCAGCTGCTCCTCCATCGCCTCGTGTTGCGGGGACTGGTCCAAGACGCGTCATGGACGGGCCCGGTCAGCCACCCCTCCCGCCCTCTCGCCCTCGCGCGCCGCGGCGGCGGCGCGAGCGAGCCGCTCCTCCACCCGCTCCTCCCCCTCCCCCTCCCCCTTCCCGCCGGCTTCTCCGTGCCTGCCTGCGCGCGGCAGCTTCTTCGGAGAGCTCCGCCATCGCCGCCTCGCTCGCCGCCGCCGCCGCCCGCGCCGCCGCCGCCTCCGCCGCCGCCGCCCCGGCACGCGCCTCCGCCGCCTCCGCCGCCGCCTCCGCCGCCTCCGCCGCCGCCTCCGCCCTAACGACAAAAAAATTCTAGCAGAACAAAAAAAGAAAAGTGCCCGACTGGAGCCGGGACTAGGGACTAGGTGTGGGTGCCTCCGTGTCGCGATGAGCTCCCCACTCCCGTTCCCCTGTGTCCCTGATCATCCTTCCAAAATCCTGCTCGTGCAGGTGGGGACCCTGTCCTCGTCCCATCCCTCGTTTGGGTTGTCTGTTTTCTTAAGATTCTTTCTTAGGGACTAGGTGACATCCCTCCCTATCGTTGTCTGTTTTCTTTCTTTGTTTGTAAAATTCTTTCTTCCTTTGGTGGCTGAGTTTCGGGCTCCTGGACGGGCTGGGGCGGCGAGGGAATGTTTTTATATCGTATCATGAACTGTCCTGAAATGGATCTAGCCCCCGCAGCGAGGGCAGCGTTGCAGCGCGCCGGCTGAGGGAGGGTGTTCTCGCTCGAGGTTCTCGAGGTTGCTATCTATGCTTTGGCCGCGTTGGTGCGAGCATTGGGTTGGTTATTCTTGTTGTTGTGTAGCATTTTGGTTTTTGCCATTGGTGTAACGCGATCCACGCAGGGGTGTTTTCTGCTCGGTTTTCTGACGACGGTCGACATCGCGACACGGACAGGGGCCCGGGCTGGGCGGACCAGAACGTCAGATCGCAGGGTACCGTACCTCCCACTCACGCGTGGGCCTCCTTGGCCTGGCCTGAGCCTGTGGATGAGATCGGTGTGATCCGCGCAAATCGTCAAATTCCGGGCTCTGAGCCCAGTCTGAGGCTGGGGTTGCGGTTGGTCCCAAAATCAGCCAAATCGGCAAAACCCCGAGGATTCCTGGAAATATCCGGATATTTTGCTCGATTTGAGAGAGAGATTTTTAGCAATACCAAACAACTCTAACACTCACACGTAATTTGGGGCCTGGTTTTTGTTCGATTTGTGCAAGATTTTGCACCAGACCAGCTCTCTCCTACCAAAGTTGCTCAGGGAAACTCGATCGAGAGTTGCCCAGAATGGAGCACCAAACACCCGCTACAAAGTTCTGGGGGCCCTCTGGTTTCCCTCTGTCTGGGTTGCCAGAAGCCTGGATACAGCTTACAGGCGCAAGGGGCCGGCGATGAATTCTTTTTTGAAAGCAGAGCGCGAAGAAGCTCCCGCCAGGCGTTCCACCGGTGGAGGTTCTCTCGTCTCGCGCGGACGATGACGCGCTCGAGGACGCGCGCGGCCGCTGTTCCCAAGTGCGCTCGCCCCTCCTCGAGCACTGCTCCGCGCTCCTGGGCCGCGCCGCCCCCCCTGACCCCCAGCGCGCAGCTGCATCGCGCCCTGCGCCTGTGCGCGAGCCGCCGACGCGAGCCCTGCGCGCGCGGCCCCTCGCGCGGCCCCTCACCCCGCCCAGGAGCTCCCTACTCACCGCCTCTGTGCCTCTCTGCAGGAGCCCGCCGCCGCGCTCCGCCGGGTGCGACCCCGCTTCTCAGCGCCGAGCCGAGAGCGTCTCGCCTCTGACCCACCTCTGCAGCCGCCCGCCGCCGCTCCCCTCGCCCGCGCCGCGCGAGAGCCGCCCGTGCCCCACGCCCGCAACCCTCCTCCGCTCCGCCGCCGCCCACTCACCTCGCTCCCCTCGCCCGCCGTTCAGGTCCTCCAGCCGGCCCGCCAAGGCGGCGCGCTCGGATCCCGACGACAGCCTCGAGGGAGCGCTCGACTTTGACGCCCTCTCGCCCGACCTCGCGCCGCCCAAGAAGGCGAGCAAGTCGCGGCCGCGCAAGCGCCCCGCTCCGGCGGCGCCCGTGCCCATCGACCCGCGCCGCACGCCCTCGCTCGAGCTCGACGACGACTCGATCAAAGAGGACTGCGACGACAACGAGCAGGACGGCCTCATCGTCAAGGGGCCGTGGTCGGATCCCGAGGACGCGATGCTGCGCTCCCTCGTCGCCGAGCAGGGCGCCAAGCGCTGGTCCGCCATCGCCGCGAAGCTCCCCGGCCGCATCGGCAAGCAGGCGCGCAAATGCCGCTGCCACGTTTCCCCGCCCGTTTCGCTCCACCACCCCCCCCCCCCCCCCCCCTCGCCGCAGTGCCGCGAGCGGTGGCACAACCACCTCAACCCCACCATCTCCAAGAATGCGTGGACCGAGGAGGAGGACCAGATCATCATGCAGGCCCACCTGGAGCTCGGCAACAAGTGGGCCGAGATTGCAAAGCGCCTGCCGGGCAGGACCGACAACGCCATCAAGAACCACTGGAACTCGTCGGTCAAGCGGCGGGCCGAGATGGCCCGCGGCGGCCTCACGGGCGCCCTCTCCGCGCCCAAGCCGCGCCGCAGCAAGCAGGCCGTCGCGCCCGCGGCCGGCCCCGCGCTCGACGACTACGCCGAGGTGCTCGACGAGTACGCGGACGGCGTCGGCGGCGACTTTCTCAAGACGCTGATGGAGTCGCCCTTCCGCGAGCCCCTGCGCCCGCAGTACGACCCCTCCGCCGAGGAGCGCCGCGCGGCTCGGGGCGGGAGCCTGCGCCGGCCGCACCCAGAGATGGCGCGGTGGCAGGACGGCGCCAGCCACGACGGCGCCAGCAGCAGCCCGACGGAGGCGGACCGGTGCACCTCGCCGCTCCCCAAGCGCCAGGCCGTGGGGGCGTGCTCCTCCCCCGTGCCGGCGCGCTCCAGCAGCCGCGAGCACCCCTTCTCGCCCGAGAAGGCGCTGCTCGACCTCGCAAAGTCGCCGTGCGCCACCGACAAGTACGAGTCGCCCGCGCAGCAGCGCCGCCCGACGCGGCCAGCGGTCAACACGGTGGCGCCGTCGCGCACGTCGGGCGGCTTCAAAGTGATTGCTAAGCTGACGCCCAAGAGCCTGCGCTCGCGCATCGAGCAGGCCTCCACCTCCGAGCCGCGGACGCACTCGGTCCTGCTCGCCCCGCACGCGGCGGCGCAGGCGAGGGCCGTGCTGACCGCGGCGCAGGCGCAGGCGACGGCGCAGGCGTCGCCCGCTGGCGCCGTCGCGGCCGCCGTCGTCGCGGCGCGGGTCGCGGCGCAGCCCGAGGCGGCGGCCGCCGCCGCCGCCGCCGCCGTCGCCGCCGCCTCTAACGACGTGCCGGTCGGCGCGGCGCCGGCGCCGAGCCCGCCCAAGCACGACCCGCCGCAGACCATCGCGCAGCAGCTGCAGGCCATCAACCGGCGCATAAACGACAAGCGCCGGCTCGAGGAGGCGGCGCGCGCGCAGCGCCGCCACGAGCAGCAGGCGGCGAAGCAGCAGAGCAAGCCGCGGCACCAGCAGCGACGAGCGACCGGCTCGGGCTCGTCGCGCAAGTCTCGCGTGCGGAGCGCGAGCCCCGACCTCGGGGACGCGCCCGTGAAGACGCTCTTCACCAAGGAGGAGGAGGGGGAGGGCGTCGACGACGACGAGGGCGCCATGCAGATCGAGATGGAGACGGGCATCGAGTCGGGCATCATGGACTCCGCCAGCGACGGAGGCGAGACGTCGGTGAGCGTGAGCCTCGAGGTCGACGACGACCCGCTGTCCCTGCTACAGCTGTACGTGCCGGGCGCCATCTTCGGCGGCGTCGCCGAGAAGGAGGCGCCGCCGCCGCAGTCGCCGCGCGAGGAGGACGACGAGGACAAGGCGGCCGACCAGCTCGCCATGTTCTCGATGCTCTGCAAGGAGTCTGCCGAGGTGCTGTTTGCGCACGACTTCAACGCCGACGTCAACTGAGGCGCGCCGCCTCCGGCGGCTAGGGGGGCCCGGCTAAGGGCCCGACACTCGGCATGACTATTTTCGCGCCTATCGTGCTGGCCCACGAGAGTCGTGACTCGCGCGGGCTTGCTGGCACAGCGGGACGCACACAGCGTTCGTCTGTGATTGTGTAAATGCGATGGTCGCTCTTCGCCTTAGTTGTCCGGGGAGTGATGGTCGTTTCTTCGCCACCATGTGAAACACACCGTTTTGGTTTTTACGACACATTTGATAACTTGTGGGCATTCCGACGACGGAGGAGAGTAGAGAGGCCGGACGGAGGCGGACGCCGCTCGCGCCTGCCGCCTCGCGGCTCGCGCCGCACGCCCACGCCGGCGATGCGGATCAATCATCAAACCGCTCTCTCAAAAGCGCAGCGTGGCGTCCTCGCTCACACGAGGTCCAAAAATCCGCACCACGGTGCACGCTCGCGGCTCGGATTCCACGGCCCGTTCACCGCTCCCGTCTCCCGAACCCAATGCCGGCTCGCCTAGCCACGCCTCGGCGCAATTCGAGTGTCGTCTCCCTCCTCTCGGGGAACGCGGCAGCGCTGCGCGGCCACGCCTGCTCGCTCGGCTCGGCGCAAGGCGGCGGGGGGATGTGCTCCGACAGGCTGACTGCGCACTCGCCCACCGTCGCGCCGGCGCGTAGCCTCTCCTCGAGCGCGGCGAGGGCGGGCGCGTGCGCGCGCAGCAGCAGCGCTGCGTTGGCGGCCGCCCAGCGCGCGTGCGCCGCCGGCGCCAGCCGCAGCTCCTCCTTCCCGCCCGCCTCGCCCTCCCCACCCGCCGCGCCGCCCTCGCCGCCCTCGCCGCCCTCGCCGCCCTCGCCGCCCTCGCCGCCCTCGCCGCCCTCGCCGCCGGCCGCGTCCCGCCCCGCCCGCCCCTCCTGCGCCTCCAGCAGCAGCCGCAGGTCTCGCTCGTCCGACGCGCCTCCCTCGGCGGAGCGGAACGCGAGCGCCTCCGCGGCGATCCCGCCCATCAGCACGATGCTCGCCTGGGGAGATACGGGGAGATATGGGGAGATATGCGGAGATATGGGGAGATATGCGGAGATATGGGGAGATATGGGGAGATATGGGGAGATATGGGGAGATATGGGGAGATCAGTTCGCACGAGGCTCGCCGCGTCCACATCCGCCGCCGGGGCGCCGCGCCCCTCCGCCGCCGCATCGAGCGCCTGGGAGCGGGCGACCAAACGGGCATCTCGGCTGCATCTCGGCTGCATCTCGGCTGCATCTCGGCTTCCAACTCGGCTGCACCTCGGCTGCTTCTCGGCTTCGCATCTCGGCTGCACCTCGGCTGCTTCTCGGCTTCGCATCTCGGCTGCACCTCGGCTGCTTCTCGGCTTGGCATCTCGGCTGCATCTCGGCTGCTTCTCGGCTCCGCATCTCGGCTGCACCTCGGCTGCTTCTCGGCTTCGCATCTCGGCTGCTTCTCGGCTGCTTCTCGGCTTGGCATCTCGGCTGCATCTCGGCTGCTTCTCGGCTCCGCATCTCGCCGCCGCGTGGACGACCACCCCGGGAGAGCCGCGCAGCCGCCGGTTGGCGAGCGCAGACATGGGCGACGCCTCGACCGCCTCCACCGCACACCCGAGCAGAAGGGCGGTGAGGAAGTGGCCCGCCTCGTGGCGCGCGAAGCGAGCCTCCGCCTCGGGGCTCACCGCCCGCGACAGCGTCCGCAGCAGAGCGCCGCCAAGCAGGCCCACATCCACGACCGCCACCAGCAGCACAGCGCCGCCGGCGGTGGCGAGCAGCACCGCCGGCAGCTGCCACCACTCGAGCGTGCGGAGCGTGGCGATCGGACCGACGGGCCCGCCCGGCGCACCCTGGGAGAGGCACGCCTCCGCGAGCAGCCCCTGCACGCCCACCACGGTCGCCGCCATGCTGAGCGAGGCCGGCCGCGAGGCGGGGCGCGGGCGCGAGCGCGACGCGGGCGCAAAGGAGGCGCGCGGCCGGCCGGTGAGCTGCTCGAGCTCGTCGAAGCTCAGCTCGCGGCGGGAGAGCGGCGGCGACGCGGCGCCGAAGAAGTGGAGCGAGGAGAGCGCCGACGCGATGGCGTCTGGCCGCTCCACCTCTGGCAGCGCGCACGCGGCGTCGATGGCGGCGGACAGCGCCGCGGGCGCGGAGGTGCGTGCGAGGCCGAGCACGGGCAGCAGCGGTAGGAGCATAGCCTCTTCGGACACAGCGAACCGCGGGTCGCGCCGCTGCGCAGCGAGAGCTCGGCGAAGGTGACAAGAGAGTGCCCGCCTTTCTGATGTAGGTCCTTACTGGGACTGGGAGTTCACACATATTTCTTTTTTTGTTTGCGCTGCAGCGCCGGCAGACCAGCATTGCCCCGCGTCGCGAACAAACACCTTCCACAGAGTGCATGCTTGACCCTGCGCAGCGCCCTGACCACACGCGCCCAGAAGACGAGGCTGAGAAGATCTTCCACCTCGTGCTCGAGCTGACCAACCCAGAGCAGCGCGAGGCGGCGCTGCTCGAGCTGAGCAAGCGGCGGGAGACCTTCATCGACCTGGCGCCCATCCTGTGGCACTCCTTCGGCACCATCTCGGCGCTGCTGCAGGAGATCGTCGCCATCTACCCGCTGCTGTCGCCGCCGTCGCTCACCGCGCAGGCCTCGAATCGCGTCTGTAACGCGCTGGCGCTGCTGCAGTGCGTCGCGTCGCACCCAGAGACGCGGACGCTCTTCCTGAACGCGCACATCCCGCTCTTCCTCTACCCCTTCCTCAACACCATCTCCAAGACGCGCCCCTTTGAGTACCTCCGCCTGACCTCGCTGGGCGTCATCGGCGCGCTCGTCAAGGCGCGCCCTCGGCGCAGCCGTGCAGCCGCGCGCCACACCGCCGCCTAGCGTCTCTCCCCCGCGGCGCGCACGCAGCCGCGCACGCACGCCGCCGCCGCTGGCGCGCCAGAAGCGCCAGAAGCGCCGCACGCGCGCCAGAAGCGGATCATTCCCCCGCGCCCCCGCGTCAGAGGCCCCTCGCCACCGCGCCAGCGTGCAGGAGACCCTCTCCCCCCCCGCGCGTGCGCAGGTGGACGACCCGGACGTCATCAACTTTCTCCTGTCGACAGAGATCATCCCGCTCTGCCTGCGCATCATGGAGACCGGAGCGGCTCCCTAGACGCTGAATCACAGATATGTGTCCTCCGACTGTCGCTCGAGAGGACATGTACCCGGCCTGCCTCCCGCCGTATTCGCTGTATTCGTGTCCCTCGCATACGCCGGCTGCCTCCCGCACCGGTGCCGCATCCCCTTGACTCTGGCGTATTCGCACAGGCTCCGAGCTCTCAAAGACGGTGGCAACCTTCATCGTCCAAAAGATCCTACTCGACGAGACGGGCCTCGCCTACATCTGCGCGACTGCAGAGCGATTCTACGCCGTCTCGACTGTCCTGGGCGCGCGCCGCCCCGACGTCCCCGCGCCGCGACACACGCCTCCCTTGTCCCGCGCTGCCGCTGCGCGCCGAACTGCCGCCGCCACGCTGCCACCCTACCCTCCCCCTCGCGCCGCAGGCAACCTGGTGGGCTCGCTCGTCGACCAGCCCTCGGCGCGGCTGCTCAAGCACATCGTGCGGTGCTACTTGCGGCTGTCCGACAACCCGCGCGCGAGAGAGGCGCTGCGGCAGTGCCTGCCGGACGTGCTGCGCGACGCAACCTTTAGCGCCTGCCTCAAGGACGACGTCACCACCAAACGGTGGCTGACGCAGCTGCTCTTCAACATCACAGAATCGACGCAGCACGTGCAGTAGAGCCGACAGCCGAGTGGCGCGCGGGCCGTTGACGACTTGAGAGAGACGCGGGGGGTGTGTATGTGTACGTCCTACCCCTACATGTGAAAAACCAGAGGTACAAGGTAGACAAAGCGCCCCACCTGCTCGCCGCAACAACCTAGCTAAAGAAACCCGCACGGTCAAATCCGCTTTTTTGAGCCCGGTTCCACACCAGTGCCCCGTCGACACACGGGGTGCAGTTTAGGTGATCGGCAGCCTCAGAGGAGTGGAAACTGATCCCCGGCGGGCCCTTCGCGACCGACGCGCGCGGCAGACGGCTTCGGATAGACATCGGCTCGGCTCCTAGCGGCTCGCAGAAGCAGCGCGGTCGCTCTCTCTCCGTCACGCCGTTGCGCGGTTGACGCTTTTTCGGCGCTCGCGGCGGGGCGGCAAAGCTGACTTTGAGGCCAATCAAGCCGGCCAAGGCCCCCACGGCGACGGCGCAGACACCACTCATGGCGCCGGTGGCCTCGGAGGCGGCGGAGATGGCGAGGTGTGCGCACATTTTGACGGGTGCGCCAGGCAGTGCTGGCGAGGCGCCCGCCGTTGACTGAACACCTTCTCGCGCGGCACGAGCGGCGCGCGGCGCTGCTGATGGGAGGAGGCAGTCACGGCCCGGACGGGTGCTGGCCGGTGGTCATCAGACCCGCGTCGTCACCGTATTCGGCGCGCAGTTCGGGACTGAACACCTCTCGAGGCGCGGCGCTGCAGCTGCAAAGTGATTGGTGTGCATCCGGCAGAGCCGGCGCGCTACGGCTTGCGCCCGTTGTCCAGACGCGCCGTGCCGCGCTCGCGCGCTCGCCGGATCAGCGCGTGCGGCAGGAACGATGCCGGTGTGCCAGTGTGCCGGTGTCGCATGCGGTGTGCCAGCGCGCCGGGTCCAGCGGACAGCAAGTTGTGTGTGGAGCGGGCGCGCGGTGGCCGTGGCGAATGTGAGCCGGCGCCACTCGCAGCCTGGTGTCGAGGCGCACTGCCTACTGCCCGTCGACTCAGCCGTGCGGCGGGGTATCCGTTTCTGTGTGTCGGTGGTGGTGCGCTTGGCGCGCATAGTGTGCGTGGGGTCTGTGTGCGTGTGCCACTCGCTCGCTGCTGCTGGATGCAACGGTTTCCCGTCGTAGTGTGTTGGGCGGCCCGTCGTAGTGTGTTTGGGTTGCTGAAAAGGAAAAGGCGAAATCAAAAGAGCGCTGCGTGACTCTGACTGTGAAAGCGTGGGTCCTCCGACGAGATCCGAAAGTTGATCGCTGCCCGATATTAGGGTGTGTGTGCGAGGCTTGTCGTCGGCGTGACAGCGACACGATCATGCTTCATCCCGGGCCGCCGATGGCCGATAAGGTTGCCCTAGGGTGGGAGGGCCCTGCGCGCGTCGTCACGCGGTGCTCAAACGCCTCGCGGCGGTGCTGGCACGCAGCCCGCTGCCACGGTGCAATATGCACAAGCCGGCTCGCGCGGCCGCGATGCTGTTCTCACGCCGCGCGATTGGCAGCAATCGGCAGCGCGAGTGTCAACGCGCAGCATAGCCTCGGCAGTGGCGGTGATGGCGCAGCAGGCGCAGCAGCAAAGGCCATGCCCAGCTCCCTCTGCGCCACCGGAGCGTAGTGCGGGTGTGCGCGATGCCATCCCCGTGGGCGTCATCAACTGTGCGCTGGTGGCGAGCCTCTGTGGTCCTCAAATGGCCCTTCTGGCGCTTCGATGCCGCTGCAGCCGCGGCGCAGCTCGACGCGCACGGGCAGCTGTGCTCTCACAGTATGCCATTGCTACACACAGCCTATGGGAGGGTGCACACTTTTACCGGATCCCGCCGGGATCCCATGCTGGTGTGCGATGCTGTTCGGAGTGCCACTCGGTGGTAGCTGCGACGCGAGCGCTGCTGGGTGTGCCAGAGGCCAGCGCAGCATCCTAAGATGAAGATCGAGCCACACCAGTGGCCCTGTCACGCCGGGCGGAGAGGGCCGCGTTTGAAGCAGCACAGGGAGCCGCACACTTTTACTTCGCACGTAAAAGTGTGCACACACCGGTGTGCAAGCAGGAGAGCCCACACAGCGTGGGTTGACCATGGAGAAACCTTAGCCACCTCTTTTG